GCATTCAATCATCATGAACAGCCATTCACAACCCATTCGACTGCTATATCTGACTTTTTTCTTGCAATTCTAACTCTATATTAAAATCAAAACATTTACATGTCAACTGTGAACTAACATGAGCTTTAACATTTTTATTAACTAACATTAACAAAGGTTAATAAATACTGTGCCGTTTAATTTAAGTTTATCGCCACATCAGCTTCACAGGCTATTTCATGGCAAATATTATACATGAGAAAAACAATATAGTAGTACACAATACAAAATACAATAAACTAATTAATAAAAACAAAGTATTGCATATAAAATTCTATAAATACATTTACTTTTGAAAGAAATTGGAAAAGTTTTTCTGGGTCCATCTTATAAAAGAAGCCCTTAAGATAATAAATGCTGTAGAAATATATTTTTTATGGTTACTTTTATAAGTTAAGGCATTAACTTAATGTTAACAAATGAGACCTTATTGTAAAGTGTTGCCAAATTAATTTTATTTCATGCAACAAAAGTTTCTAAATCTTTCTCTCTTCCGAGCAACAATCAATCTCTCTGGATTTTCCCCCCAGATTTGTAAAGTCATAGAAATGCTATCGTGGATATTTTAACAATAGCATTTCTATGCATTTACTAACATTTTTACTCTATTTTAGTAAAGACACGTCAGTTTTGCTGTCTTGAGTTTAACAGCAGTCGGTTTGTCGTCTGTGCGCTCTTGATCCAGGTGAGATTGAGTCATAAACTGATCTGCAGCTGCTTTAGACGCGATGAGAACAGAACTGAAGCACAACAGCAACAACAACATGTGCGTCGATATGAAGTGCTTGCAGGCGTTCAATTAATTTCTGCACATGTCATTCCTGCCGTCGCTCCTGACTCACACTGAAGGCCCGTTTGCACCAAAGCAACAATTATATATAACAACAATAACATCCAGCACACAAAAACATCATTAAAAGTGTTTCAGTGCGATAAAATCCTCAAGACTTCAGGCCGGACAAACATTCGCTCTGCTGCGGTTTTCTTCAATAAAAGTGATTTGGATTCACCTCGAAGCAGCTGATTGGACATAAGAGAGCCTTTCTGTACAACCATAATGAGGAAATTAGCATTAGAAGAAACATTCCTCAGCTCTTTAAATAACCGAGTGTGAATAACAAACATCTCAAACAATTATTAAACTTTTTAAATCACTCTGAGAGTGAAATAACTTCTTATCTGACCAATTACACTTCAGCAATTAAAATTTAATATTCATTTAAATGCATCTGTGTGTGTTTTTCTCCTTATGGTCAAATGAAGACACCGAGTCTCCACTATGCTTCAAGAATTTTGCATCACATATTTTACACTAGACATCAAAGTAGAGATACAATAGCTCAGTGAACAAAAACAGGCTTTCTGCAGGTCAATTCAAGACTATTTAAAGACCAAGTAAAGAAAATGTAAAAAATAAGTTAAAGGGAAAACAATGTCAGTATGCTCTCTAAATGTGAATGTCTAGAGAGCAAAATGAGTTGTGTTTGAAACACTTTAAAGGGGTCATA